TTAAAGAGATATTGCCTTTTTTTTCATATTTATCTTTAGAGACTTCTCCTGGAGGAAAAAAACCTTTTGAATGGCATTCATCACATTCTGATTTTTCTTTTCTATCTTCATTTTGATTTTATAATCTTGTTCTGAATGTAAGAATTATATATATTGAAATGATAGTATGTGTAATTGATATCTCAATCTCCATCTGAAGAAAAGTCACTATTACAGTGGGAAGACCAGAGAAATAACCAGAAAGTATTTGAATAAAAACAGGAGTGACTATGTGTAGTTGCATTTTACACTGCTTTCTTTCTGAGTTCTATAAATAGAAGCATCTAAAGGTTTCCAGGAGTCTGAAAAAATACTCTATATTGTAAAATTTGAGGAAATTTTTTTGGTGAGAATGTGTTTAGAAGATAAGTATGATTTAGAGAGGATTTAAATAATTATATTTCTTTTTTTACAAATGGTTTTACATTGATAAATCCATTGAATATTCGTAAAATTATCACTTTTACAAATTGAAAGTTAAGGCGAAAAATCTTTAGTAGCTTTATTTTTGATTGTGAGTGCTGTTGCCGTTTCTTCTTGCTAATTGTTTTTAGCACCTTAGTTTCAGTTTGCTCTTAAAATGTACTCCCCTACTTAAAAAGTATACAATAATGTACAGAGGTGATTGAATGAGAAAAAGGGTCACATTCAGAAGGTAAAATGGGTGAGAGATCCTAGGAGCAATGGTTAACTCATCAAATGGGGTGTGTGATGCATGCTAACCTAGAAGAAGCATTGATTCATTGAACAGGTTTATCATTGACCAAGTTTTAGACACTACATTAAATTAATCCGATGTGTAAAAGAAGGTTAAAGAATGTAGAATGATGTAATGAAAAAAAAATTCATCGTAGTGTAGTCTTCTACACACGAAACTACCTTAGTAAAGTCACCGATCGGCTATTATTTTCTGACAATCTTAGAGACTCAGTTACAGTGCATTCTACATTTCCTACAATCCGATTTTCATTGGAAAATTATACAATTATAGAGAAAGATTTAAATACCGTAAGTACTCTAATAGATAAACTGGAATAGAGCAGATAGCAAAACAAATTATTTAACTTTCCTTTTCCCAGGCATAGAAAGGCCTCAGAATGCCCAAGTTTTTCATGAATGCTGCATCTCATCAACTTGTGTTTACACTTCTCTAGCTGAAATCTTAACTACTGTCTGCACTTAACACCTTCGAATATGGTTCTAAATTTGTCTCCACGTTGCAGAGAATTGATCTGTATTGGTTTTCAAATTAATTAATGCATAAAATGAAAATTCTCTAGCACATACTAAAAACAGTGAAGTAATATGTTACTGAGCAAGTTAATGAAAAGAGTATAATTCTGAAATTCAATGAGAGAGAGAGAGAGAGAGAGAGAGATGTTATATAACATCCCATAATATTGAATGGTTGGCTTATCAATTTCCGTATTATGAAATAGCTTAAATATGCAGATTATCAAAGCACACAAGATTTTAGAAATACCACAGGAAAGCCATTAGTTTTAAAAATTAACTACATTCATTCCTAAAAACTCTTTTAGATGGCTTCTAATATATTGTTCCTTTAATGAAATTAATATTAAATTTATAATATTCTAGAAAACAGATGTCAAAGGTGAGAAGAAAAACTGAAGAAATGTTACATTGTTATAATGGAACATGAATTTAGATTTTGAATTTTGTAGTGTTCAGATGAATGGCAAAACTACAATTATACTATTTCATCAACAGAATCAAAAACATAACACATGACAGAAATAAAAAGGAAAAAAGGGATTTCTTTCTCACAGATATATTAAGTAATCATGAAAAATACTCTATGGCATACTTTTTTTTAATATAGATTTTTTGATTTTTATAAACTCCAAGGCTTTATTCAAACAGCATGTGATGTCTGCACTGTATATAAACAAAATTATTAACTGTAAGACAACATTGATGACTTCAATCCCCATTTATTCTTTTTATTTCAGTTGGTGCCTTTAATAGCAAGCATCTTGTCACTATCTTATCTTAGTTTTATTCATTATTAGAATAGTATATTAACAACTGATATCAACAGACTTGTGATCTCTGTACATAAATGTTTGCAAATTTGCAAATATATAGTACACATTTTAGAGCTCATGACAGGTACTGATTTCATTTTTATAGGCAATTGGAAAAATCAGAAGACATGACATTCTCATTCTATAAATAAGAAAAAGCCAAAGAAAGAGAAGTAACCTGTCCTTCTGATTAAATCATTCCCACAGATAAAAGCTGAAGACATGAAAGCAGAGGATAACGTTTCCATGGTGATGCAATTTGTACTCCTGGGATTTTATGAGCTTCCACAGCTTCAAAAGTTACTTTTTGGGGTGTTCTTCATCGTTTACATGATTATCTTAATTGGAAATAGCCTCATAATAGTACTAACCAAGCTTGACCCTGCACTGCAAAAGCCCATGTATTTTTTCCTGGCAAACTTTTCCTCACTGGAAATCTGTTACGTGTCTGTCACTCTCCCTAGGATTCTGATGGACCTTTGGACTCAGGATAGAAGAATTTCTGTGCTAGACTGTGCCACCCAAATGTGCTTTTTCCTTATACTGGGAACCACTGAATGTTTGCTCCTGGCGGTGATGGCATATGACCGCTACGTGGCCATTTGTAACCCCCTGCACTATCTTCTAGTCATGAACCAAAAGATGTGTATTCAATTGGCCGTTGGTGCCTGGATTAGTGGAATCCCGATACAGATAGCTCAAACATGCCAAATTTTCTCTCTGCATTTCTGCAAATCCAACCAAATTAACCACTTCTTTTGTGACATACCCCCCATTTTCAAGCTAGCCTGTGGGAACACTTTCATACATGAGTTATCAGTCTATGTAGTATCTGTGCTATTTGCTACGATCCCTTTAATGTTGATACTTGCCTCTTACAGCAAAATCGTCTCCACCATTTTGAGGTTGTCAACAGCCCGAGGACGAGCCAAAGCCTTCTCCACATGTTCTTCGCACCTGCTAGTGGTGATTTTATTCTTTGGAACTGCTACCATTACCTACTTAAGGCCAAAATCCAATCATTCTGCAGGAATGGACAAACTACTCTCACTTTTCTATACCATAGTGACACCCATGTTTAACCCCATGATATACAGCCTCAGGAACAAGGATGTCATCGCAGCACTGAGAAAATTATTACTTAGAAAAACACTGTGATGAGTCTAGTTGTAAATGTTCTCACTGCTTGCCACACGGTTACCAGAGGAACATTTCAAATCTCTATAAACCGAGGAGTTAAATGCTTTCAGCTTATGATGTACATTTAGAAACTTTTAAATGCTAACCTGCCATGTACTGTGTTTGGATATACGCTAAGCAAATTAATCTACCTTAAGTGCTTTATGCCTACAGAAAAACTTTGCCTCTTGATAAAATAGTAATGCACTTCACGTATCCCATATATAAACTAAAAACAGAATTCGATCTGCTAAAATTTTTATGTTTAACTACATGAAATGTATACCAGATAATTTTCTAAATCTTTACATTTTCATTTATTAGTGTTCTTTCATTCTATAGCATAGAGACCTGCCAATGGCAGTTGAATATTGAATATATGAATGAATAATTAAATGAGTGAATAGATAAATGAATTATGGTATGATCTACTTCAGATTCCTGGAAAAATCTGCAAATTTTAAGCATCAATAAGATTGGGAACATATTTATTTAACTTACTTTGCATCCATGTGGAATTACTCCAATCATGATACTAAAGAAAAGCTTACATG